CAGCGTCTTCCATGGGACCCCGACGACACAATGCACTTAGATGACGTCTATGTTAACCTGCAATGGGTGCAGGAGGAAAGAAAACCAGCAGGTACCATTTGTGGTCCAATCCAGAGCTATACATCATTATTAGATACCAAACAAGGGAAGACACCAAAGAGAATATTGGTCAGAGGAAAAGCAGGCATCGGCAAAACTACATTTACACAGAAGATGGCAACAGACTGGGCAAATGCTACACTGGGTTTAGGAGAACGCGATGAAGTCCTTTTAAAATATGAACATGTTTTAATAATAAATCTACGCAGCATTCAGCCTGGTCAAACACTGAAGGAAGCAATGGAAACGCAAATCACTTGTCCTGCGGAAAATAGGAAATCAGTGACAGATGAAGTCATGCAAGCTATAGACTACGACGCTGACCATGTTCTCTTGGTTTTCGATGGTTATGATGAATATGATATCAACACTTCCACAGAAATCACAGACATCATTTACAGAAGACGATACCAGAATGTGTGCACCGTCATCACAACACGGCCATGGAAGGCAGAAGATCTGATGAACAGACGAATAATGGACGGTGCGTATGAAATAACTGGGCTAACAGAGGACAACATAGCTGAATATGTTGCTAAATTCTTTAATGATAAACAGACATATGATAAGTACTTGGCAGTGCCGTCAGGTTGGCAATTCTATGATAAGCGTAGGGTTATACTGAGTTCAATAGGGAAGGGTCTCGTAGGCTACCTGCGTAAAAAAAAGCTTATGTCTTTGGTGAAGATCCCAATACTTCTCCTGTTCATTTGTCTTTTGTGGCAAGAAGATCAAGAAAGTGATGCCCAGACAGATTCACTCCCAGCTTCACATTCACTTCTATACAAGAAATTAATACAGTTGCTTTTAAGACGAAGATACGGCATCAGGACACAGGTTGAAATGGAACAGTCTGCATGCGTTAAAAATCTTGAAGAAAAAACATTTATCAGCCTTGGCAAGCTGGCTTACGATGGACTGGTGAAACCAGATGGGGGTCTCATATTTGATGAAAAGGACTTGCATACGATTCCAGATGTCAACGAATTGTACAGTTTAGGTCTACTTAGCAAGTGTAAGGTTCACAGTAACCTTGATGTTAAACACGAGGTAACTTTTCCACACAAAACCATCCAGGAGTTTTTTGCGGCAAAATACCTGGCGGGGACATTATACGAAAAGGTGAATAACATTTTCGATCAACTGTTGGAAAACTTAGACACCCCTGATAAACTCTTCGACATGGATTTTGTGCTGCGCTTTGTGTGTGGGTTATCTAGGAGTGCAACTGGCAAAGTGCTACATAGAGCTAAATCTCTTCAAGGCGGATTTCAGGAAGAAATATTTCTACCTTTTGTCTGGGACAGTCATTTTCTCAGGGATATCCAGTTGTGTAATGATCTCCTCCTAGAACACTGGTATGCCCACTGTCCCCAAGAAACAGTGCTGCCCCCTGAGCTTATCTCCTGGCACAGGGTACTTTGCATACCTGGATCATTTGATCACTCTGATCCCAGATTCCAGCAGGTTTTGTATGACAGTGTAGATAGTTTATTGTCCAGTCCTCGAATGTATTTTGGTATGCTCAAAGGTTTGATTGCTGTCAGTCATGACAGTTACAGGTTAGATACAAAACTACCAGACGATATACCTACCAGAAGACAAGTAATAGTGCACAAACTTTTATCTTTACTCAGAAAGTGTGACATGTTCGAGAAACTAGTAGCGGTACTTTGGATGGCTAGATCTTACAGATGTGATGATTACACATATACCTTAAATCATGTTTTATCAAAAGCTCCTAACCTTCAAATGCTTAAAATAGACTCAGATTGTAATGGAGCACTATCATCAATACTAAACTCTGGAAAACTGTTACATCTGTATGTCGGAGACATGAATGTTCAAGACTACCAGGTGATCCAACAGATGGGACACTTGAAGTCCATTAAGGTATATGGAATAAGAGACCCACATTTTCAACTGGGGGGAATACCTAATATCAGTCAACATTTGACTCACATAGGAATTATTTGTACCCCTCTTAGTGCCGTGGGTGTACAACTTCTTGTGATAAACCTTTACCATGTGCCAGGGCTGGAATATCTAGACCTGGTCCGTGTACTCAAGGGGAGATCCGAGTGTGGGTCTGGCAGGTGTAGATGTCCTAGGGGTGAAGATACAACAGACTATGACAGATGTCAGGATGTCTGTGAAGCCGTGCGTGAACTGAGCCAATGTGTGATGTACACCACTAAGCTGAAGTACTTTACATTCAGTATGAATTTCTTGGGTCGGTACCACGGTATCACCAGTCCACTGATAGCATTGGTACAATCTCTCAGTACAGTGTCAGAGCAGACTGGAATGGAGATTGACATGCATAGTAATGCCCTGGACAGAGTTGACTGCCTCAGTGAGCTGATAGAAGCCATTGTCAGCTCTTACCAGCATGTATCATCTTGGAATCTTTGGGCTAATAACCTTGAAAAGAGTCTCCCAAAGCCAGACGACAGTCTTAATTGTCAAATGCCACATATTTTTTTTTGAAGCATAAAGCTTCTAATTGGAAACCTGAACATACGTGTTAAGTCTCGTTCACATATGAAAAATGAAGTGTATTTCTAGATGTGACTGCTGTAGTACAGTTCTGATATTTGCATCACCGAGTAATGCTAAAGCATGCCTTGGTCTACCAGTGTTTCAGTATTCAATATTTATGCATCTTACCCAGACACTGATAGTGTACTCTTAATCAGCTATTACATTAGTGATAGATACAATACGAGTCGCCGAGCTGTACGTGAAATATTACGAGTGTATTGGCGAGCCGCAGGCGAGACAATACACGAGTAATTTTCACGTACAACTCGGCGACGAGTGTTGTATCTGGCTTAAACCACGGCCTCTGATTGGCTACTACACAAGTAGTGCAACAGACCGTGGAACGCACTCGTACATGACGTGCTTGTATGTCGAATACAGCACGGCCGAGTCTTTTGTTCTACGCGCTAGCCGTGGTTTAATACCTGTTACATTGTATCTTATTGTCAGCCTTCAACATCTACTGGTATAGTGCATTCCAAATCATTGTGTGAATATAAAACTTGATACAATTGTAAATAATTGTTACATTGTTTTTCCTGTTAATAACCATCTGTACAATATTACTATGGGTCATAACATGTTTATGATATATATTTTGACTCATTTATACAAGTATAGACATATAGCCTTATTTGGATATGAAATGGTGTTCTGATTGTAGTACTGTACATGTTTTTCATCTAATAATTTTTATTATTACACATATATTTACATTATACACACACGTGCAGTGGCTTAGTGTATGTGAAAATATTATGTACTTAAATGTATGTACAGGTATATCAATGCATAAGGTGGGTTTTTATTAACACATTAAATAGCTTACCGGGTAGTTGTCGACTTGACATACAGCAGTTCATGAAACTGTGAAAAATAAAGTGTAAATCTGTATATCACTTGCTTTTTGCACATTTAAAATAAAACGTCACGTGTTTGACATATTGCGTAGGTTCAGTATTTTGAAACTTTTCTTATAAATAGCTTTTAACACATATTAACACACATTTCTTGGAGAAAGTGTAGAATTAAAATTAAAGGGATAAAAACTCTTCGTATGATACCTTTATTTCACAATAAAAACATTGTTAACAACTCATAGAAATATAATATATTCTGTTAAACACAAAAACGGCAGTTATAGCTATTATTCTGATATCTGGGCTTGTCTTCAGATCACGTGACCTCCATTGATGGCTGTACTCAGTTATAATCTCTTAAGAGACTTTAACAAAAAATAACTTTTAAGAAAAAAACAGGGACTAACTTTGAATGTAAAAATGGATCCATCAACTATTGGTTAGTATGGAAAAATTGTCGTTTACTCCTGGAAAATTATTATTATTATTATTATTATTATTTTTTTTTTTTTTTTTTTTTTTTTTTTTTTTGCCAAAACGAAGATTTATTATCCCTTTAAGCGTTTTTATGAGATTTAATCTTCACATTATTCTAGTTGTTGCTTATACAGGTATTAAACTTGTAGGTAATGATATGTTTTTAGTTATTGTTGAAAATTGAAGTTTTGTGAGACAAAAATTCCAGTTGTGAAGATTAACATGAGAAGTCTTATAATGACTTCCTATATTTTTGTCATGAATGATCATAAAAGATCCCACGAGTTGTAATAGTGCTGTGAAGAAAAAATAAACTGACGACTGGTCAAAGTGGTGATTTAGACTATTCATGAAGTCCACGGTACAAAGTAATGCCGTCGAAATTCGAGGCCCCCACCCCCCAAAAAAAGCCCTTTAAAATCAAAATCCTGCAGCAAGCAATAAAGAAAGTCTGTTCAATTCAAGACAATCATATAAAAAACCATCTCATGAACATTATAAATGCAATGGAAAATCCGTAATATAGTTTTTCCACATACCACATTTTACTACAGTGCAACAACATTATTTATTATAACTGTGTCATACGCAAAATTGCCGTGGTCATTACGTAGATATCATATCTAGATCGTATGGTTAATACAAAATACATAAAAGTTAAACTATAAATCTTTACAGGTACCAGCCATGTGTATAGGTTATACTGCTACATTGACGTCTCTTCTCGGCATATATTTAAAACATACACTTGAGAATAAAATAAAAGTTTCCAACAAAATTTGTCAAATCCATGCTCGACCACATGCAATAATCCCATGGCCTTAAATTTTTATGAGGATTTTCTGTGGAAATTTGACGACGTCAAGTACACGTGAAACACAGACATGATGAAATGTTTGTACCCCATTACCCTTTAGTATAGTGATATTTAACTCAAAAATTATGTTTAACTTCTGATAAAAGAAACAAAACAAAGCACGATTTCATTGCTTTGGCGAAAAACTCTCATAATTCAAAACGTCAAAAACCATTTGTTTTTGCCACTGATGCTTCAGTTCCTGGACCATGGGAGGTGATGAGGGTGTCATCTTCTAACTGAAAATAAATATAAATAAATAAATAAATAAATAAATATCAGCAATTATGAGTTAGATGTTTTCGTTTACAATCACGACCACTTTACTAAGGGTGCATTCCCAGAGATTAAGATCGATCCAGAGATTTAGATTTAGATCGACCTAACTCCCTTGGGGGTCACGCTAAATTGCAGTCAGCCGAGGGCGCACCATGGTAAATATTACCCCCTTACAATTGTTGCTCTGTTTTTCTTTGCCCGTAGAGTAGCAGACGAGGACAAATTTATCATTTTTGTGATATCTTTCGTGGTTGGGGAGGAGAAGGGTCTGGTAGTAAAATATATTGTTCGTATTATAGTTTTCAGCGCCACATAGAGCATCTGAACTGTATCCTCTGCCTTGAGGAGGTCAAATTTGTTAGCATCTTCAGGTATTAAAAATTGCCCCGTTTTGCTGTTCTTTATATCTTTTTGGGTGGGGTTCAGAAGGATCTGGCAGTAAGATGTCGTTTATATGCTGGCTTTCACTGCTGTTTCCTCCCCAGAGAGGTGAAAACGTCTACACCCCGTACATATCAGAGGGTAACATTCCAGACATACTGTCACCCCCCCCCCCCCCCCCCAATCCACACACACAGAATTGTCAAATTGTTTACAATACCTTCTGAAGCAGGGGTAGTTCGGTTGTCAGTACAGCAAGTACTGCGTCGTGGACCGTAAGATAGATGGCGTCTCTGCCTTGGTCACCGAGGAATACATTCTTCTGGACTGTCTCAGTAAGCTCATCTAGAAGACAGACAGAAGACAGAAACAATCAGAATTTTCAATGTCAACTTACAACATTAATAATTAATATTGACAGTAATTTTCACCTTTGTATGAACCACTTTTTTATAAAAGCTGAGCTTACATTATAAGAACCAATAATCAGATCTTCAAATACTGTCATATTATTAGTAAGTTTTCTTGGAGAATCCAAGTCTCTAGAAAAATTAAATTAAAGATTAAACTTTAGATTAAAGAAAATAGATATACTGCTTTCTAAATTCTCTACTAGTTCGTGTTACACAGTACATCGCAGTGTTGTAACAAACCTCTGCAATGCGCAAAAACAACCTGGACTCCAATGTCTTTGTAATCACATACAATCTGAAATGAAATTAACAATAATTGAATCGTTTTAACTTTCCGCTTATTTTCTTATTTTAGCTAATTGATCCGTTTTATGATAGATTGAAAGGGTCAGTATGAACAATGTAACAATAAAAAACAATCGCACGAGTAAAACATGTAATTAAACACACTGTTAGGTATAGAAGTGAAATAATTATCATATACCGAGATGAAAGGACAGTATCATTTCCAGCATGATATGCAATTTTGTTTCAATCAAACCTGTCGTATTTATGAATGGACAGAGAGAGAAGCGAGAGAGAGAGAGAGAGGGGGAGAGAAAGGAGAGGGGAAGTGACTTTAACCTGTTTCAGAGCCTGGATACCAACAGCGTCTACAAAAGCCATGGCGGAACAGTCAACTATGATATGATGAATAGCGGGCTGAGGTGGAAGCTCTTCATTAACTTCTGAGGGTAATTTGTCATCAGGTTGGACGTCCTCTATGTGGAGGCTAAGTACTTCTTTGGACAGGCCTATCATACCTCTGTTACTTATACCGTTCACTTCTGTAGTCTTCTTTATTGTGGTAGGAATGCACTGAATGAATAACAACTCTTAGTAAAAAATTCTAAAGAGTTAATGCTGGTCTAATATATGTATTTGATGGATACGGTATGAACGTTTTTTTTTTTCTTTCCAGCACACACTACTAGTTGGTATCACATTTATTTTCCATTCAAAGCGTGGCATTACGGATCCGAATAGATGAGCGTTAATATCGTTGAAATAATAATAATAATAATAATAATAATAATAATAATAATGCTTAGTATAGCAAATTGCCAATTGCCAATTAATAGAGCTCCACAAAAGCCCGCCACCAAAAATCGACTTCGACCTTTCCGAAATTGTTTATGGAAACCAGTTATTTACTTTGTGTTACTTTGAGTGAATCCATTATGACCAACAAATTATAATATTTATCTCTTTGACGGAGTTAATAAATCATTGAATAAACGCCCATATTTATGTGAAATCTAACCTCTACTTTTTGTGTTTTCTTCTCTTCCTTCTCTCTCTCTTTCTCCAACGCTTCGCTTTTCTCTTTGCTCTTCATCTGTTTCGCTTTCAGGAGTGCCGGATCACAGTCAGTAGCTGCGTACAGCTTGCTCCGGAAGTGTTCAGCGTTGGCGTAATACAGAGATGATCCAAAGTGGAATATCTTGATACCTGGAATCTCCTCCACCTGGATATACATGTATATGACAAAATTCCTTCACCATCATGATCAGTATTATTATTTTTTTTTCAGAAGAAGAAGAAGCAATCTGTGTGATCTAAATACAACAGCAAACAAGTCAACATTCTCAGTCAATATAATAAAAACAAACATCCAAAGGTTCAATTTCGTCCTTTTTACATTTTGCATTACCCATACTTCAGGGCCGAAAGAAACAGCTTTTTTGTTCTGGGAAAAGGTCGATTTTGTTCATTGTATCTTCAATTGTGATAATAAAAACCGTAACTTTCTTTGCTTTAAGCAAACAGTAAATCAAAAGATTGAGCCCCCCCCCCCCCCCTCCGTCTAATGCCTCGTAGGCAACCACATGTGTCGTCTCTTAAAATATTTTTGTTATCATATACTGTATGTTGGTTCCGTTGGAATAACAGTTATATCAAAATCAAAATAATAAAACATACTCACCATATAAAAGGTTAGGAATAATAATTTAAAAAACTCTGTAATGAGGTGGGAAAATCTTTAGTGTATATAAAAAATCCAATAAATGGTGGATGCATAACCCATCAACATATGAACCTTAGCTACTGTTGTTATTTTAGTATAATTCAAAATAACGGTGTTTGTGGATTTTTGGGCTACTGTATATTTGAAACTGATAACTTTTAAAGCTTACTCACCGTCTTGTATATATTGCTGTCTCTGTATATATCCGAGTGGGGTACTCTCCCATACAAACACGTGTACGGCCTTATATAGAAGAAATAGGTGTGTTATAATATTATGGAGACAACTATATGTAGCGCACTTAAAGGAAAGACGATCTTATTTCTAATTGTCCAGATGGCAGATTCAAAACACTGGCTATGTAGGCTGCCAAGTGTTTGAAACCATTCCACAGTCACCATGCAAAATCAAAATTTTAATTATTTAAAAATTTCCATTTAATTTATTAAAATAAATTTACTTCCAGCATGAAATAGCGAAATTAAATCGTATATCGAAAGTTTTTCCCTTTTTGATAAATGTTAAAGAGATTTATGTACAAATGCACTGTGGGTTTATGAAAAAAATGCAAAGATAGCGATAATTAATGTAGGTGACAAAGTCAAAACGCTATTTAAATACACAGGCTGACACATGTATGGAATTTTATCGGCATATACCATAAAATATAATATAATAAATGCACTTGTAGCATGAAGTATTCAATACACACCATTTCATAATGGTAAAATATTAAATAGTACTACATAATACATTGATAGTGCTATACTGTCGAAAATATATTAGGCAGATGTGTTGAAAATACCATGGTCAGGTGATACAAAGTAAAGATGTCATACCACTGTGTCCTGAACACGACGGTGAGCAGGGAGAAACCAACTCCTATCATGAGGCCATACTTCAAGTCAAGGATAACTACCCCAAGGAAAGTAACGATCCAGACGGCCTTCGTGAAAAAAAAAAAAATATATATATATATATATATATATATATATATATATATATATATATATATATATTAGAAATGTACTTATGGTTTTCAAATAACGTGGAATGAAAAAAATCAACGTTTTTTAATTATTGTGTGGCACATAGCCACTAGGACTCGGTGTGTTAGGTGTTCAAGTATGAAATGGAATATATTATCAGGCGAGTGTGTTAGGTGTGACAATATGAATGCGTCAGCTTTCCTTATTGCTTACAAAATCAAATCTAGAAATCCCCCACAGTCTCTTGATGCTTTTGACCTGCAGGAACATGCCTTTCAGAGCCACCATGATGATGGAGGCAAGAACACACTGGAAGTAAAAAAATAAACATCGCTTTAATTAGAGTTACGAGAAAATGTATTACTTTAAAGGCAAAGAATGATGGATGAACGTCGGATGAGTGTGTGCTACTAAAAGAGCTACTAATTCAGAATTTCGAGTGTTTGTATGGTTAAATTACCATAAATTACCTTTGGAAGTGTTTCAAACAATGGTCCGGCGAACAAAATGATAATAAGGATGAAGACGCTAGATATTACACTTGCAACCTGAAAATAAAGTTTTGTGTGCATTTGTAAATTAGACAGTGTTTGGTATAAGGAAAACGAACATGATGATATTCAGAATCATTATTTATCCTTTATATGTTTACAATAGATCAATCCCTTAAAATTGTTAGAAAAAGCAAGATTAACCGAAGCAAGTCGAGATAACTGGCATCATTATTAATTAACTTTCAGAAAATATGTTTTCAAAATCCATTTTAATTGGATTAGTTCACCCTTATTATTATCAATTATTATAACCTTATTAATCTTTTACGACTTTCTACAGTTTTTTTATTTAGCGTTTTCTTAGTGCTGGTACTTTTTGTATTAGGAAAAAAGCATAAATGTTAATTTTTGTGATCATTATTTTATTTTACATCTGATGGCTTTATACATGATAATAATATACATGTCTATGGCAGATACAGAGCAAACAAAGTTAAGATTGCAATAAGGCATAAAAGTAAATAATAAAAGTAGCAGACAGACAGACAGACAGATAGGTCCTGTTTATCTAGAATTGAATTTGCGGGTTGAATAAATAAATCTCTATATAATGCTTGCGGGTATTGAATTGCTTTACCTGCGTCTTCCCACCTGTAGTCTCTTGCACACAAGACCTGCTCATGGCGGCGCCCGGAGACGAGCAGGTGAAGATGGCCCCAACAACATTCATCAGTCCGTAAGCAACTAATTCCTGAAGCAAAATGGCACAACTTTTCGAGGAATGTACCAAAAGGAACACTGGGACCAGAGTTCACGTAACTATCATAAAATAACTCAATCTTGAAAAATGCACGGTCTAGACTTTAAAAAAATATTGGTCTTCCTCAGTTAAAGACAAAACGGTATATGGCACCCTGGTACGAGTTTGAAAGAGAAACAGGATAACAGACAAGCTATAAATTAAGAAGAGACGTACCTGGTTGGCATCCACGATATAGCCATTTGATTTGGCAAACATCTTAGCTAGCGATATATTGATAGAGTAGGATACAATTGCTATGACAATGGATTCCAGAACGGCATCTCCGAAATACGTTAGAGGTGGTACTCTGGGCTGTGGAAGTCTGGAAGCATACACATACTGCATATCAGCACTACATTGGCCTCCATAAGTTAAGCTTGTAAGATAAGCAATACCTTAAATATTTAACTTTTTAATACCTTAGTCACTTTATTAAATTTCAGCTGGGCTGTGCGATTCTCTTTAATATCTCGTGAATAACGTATATATACAGTTGGATATTTATATCCAGAAAATACATAACACACATAATTTTAATCATGCGAATGGATTGATATAATTGACTCCAATTAAAATTGAAATCAGACATTTAACAGCACGGCAGTTATGAGGAGATTAAGATCGGTGGATGTGTTTTCCTGCGATACGTGCAGCAGTGTTTGTTCTAAAGCCGAAAATACACACAGTCCGTGGCTGTCATACTTACCCAGCAGAGAACTTCCCAACTACCACTACATCGTTAACCTCGTCTAATTTAGCCAGGTAACACACGGCGGTCGCCAAAATCACCTGCAATGGAAAATGTACGACAGCGTGCCAAACAGTTCGAACGAAGAAAATTAATTTTAAAAAACATCGCTGTTGTTGAATTGATTAACATACGGCATCAATATACGTGCGGGCAAGACATATTTGAAAATAAGACGTGTAATCGTCAAGTACAAGTACAATTAATCTTTATATAAAATATTACATCACATTTTACTTAAACTCACATCTATTACCTCCGCCAAGGAGGTTATGTTTTCACCCCTGTTTGTCTGTCTGTTTGTTTGTTTGTCATCAACATAACTCAAAAAGTTATGGGCCGATTTTGATGAAATTTTCAGGAACTGTCAGAAGTGGGCCGAGGAAGAGATGATTAGTTTTTGGTGGTGATCCGTATCAATGATCAATCAATGATCAATAATAATCAAAAATCGCTGCCTTGGCGGAGGTCTGCGCTCTCGGAGTGCTTTTCTAGTTTTAAAAGAAATCACTTCACGTTTGAAAAAGGACGTCTCCGTGTTTTAAGTCACTTAGGTAGTGTCTATCACTATATCACTTCCCCCACCCCCTTTTGGTCAAGGAAGACTTCCCTTGAGCTTTCTCTTCTACACTCTCTTCTTTCCGTTTACTTGCTACACTGTTATGTACACTGATCGTGGATTCAAGTAACAAAGATAATGGACGATGAACCCCTCATGAAATACCTACCACCAATAGTTCTATGGGGACTGGTACCTTCATTTTGGACTTAAATCTGGCGTTAATGCATTCTTTGACCAGAACTAGAGTAAGAATGCAAATGGATGACATGATCAAAGCCGTCAGGTTGGTCTGGGATACAGCAGGGAGAAATTTGCTGTAAAACTGGAAAAGAACGGAAATGTTTCTATGTGGAGATTTGTCAAGGTATCACTTGAGGAATGTACCGGTATAGCTGGTATATGTGCAAAACTGTTCGAATGCATTACTCATGTCAATAGAGATGTGCAATAATGCATTTACCCAATCCTGCAGGAAATTGCAATAATATAAAAATAAGTGTATATTGATATCAGCTGATATGAGTGCCATCCACAGGATTTTGCAAGCAATCTGTGAATAATGCCAGTATTTCATCTAGGTGTTGTGGAAAAGAAATTTAAAGAAAACAAATACTTTGTTGGTGCGATTATACATAAGTAGGTTTACCAATGTATGATATACCCTTTATCTTACGTTGATCAGTTTGAATGGACTTGGCTCAGTCTTAACACTGACTCCAAACACGTGTTTAATCTGTGAAGAAAACACGTGACAGGCGGCTCCTGTGGTGAATCCACTGACGAGGGGATCAGACAAGTAGTTGGTGATGAAACCAAGACGGAGTAAGCCCTTCAGCAACTGAAGCATAGAACTATACATATATGGTGACATTAAAAATATTAATCATATCTTAAAGGACAAAGGGCCAGAGTCAAAATACATTCTTGGTAATAGAAACAAACATGTACATCCTGGAAACGAAATCTTAATTTCATACCTGCCAAACGCCCACCAACAACATTAAAGCCACGACGACATTAATCTTATAATCAACACATTCCAAGTTGTCCGTGGTGTCCACATCACATACTATCCCGTTTCCAAGAGACGTGTTGTATATACCGTTGCTAGGCAACAAGCTAGACGGGCTCCACGCTGCGGTCTGTCTATCAACGTAAGAGCCGACGAGGAAACTAGACGTGGCTACAGACCCTACAAGAGAATACAACGGGTCTATAAACAAAGAAAAACGCCGCACTTGACAGCCAGAATAGCAGCATTTTATGTACATATAGACATAAGTTCATTGTTTTCTTAATTAAGAATTCTTGTTCTAAATTTAGTTCGCGTTTTTTATTTGTTATAGAGAACATTCAGGCCTTGTACACACAAAAAAATCTGCATGATACGCACTTGCTTTGGTTTTTAGGTAATGTGGAATTAATCGATATGTATGAGGTGTAGAGAGATGGCATTTTCTCTATATATTTTTTGGGAAAAGTTACTGTAAAACCATGTATTTCTTACTCCTCTTACATCCCAACTTTCTCCAAAATAGCAAGAACAAAAAATACGAAACACACTCAGATCATTGCTTTCCTTTAATCACCTCTCTTGTGACAACAAAACGCCATTATTCCTGAGATACGCATATATGGTCCGTATGGGGTTAACGCAAGGTTACTGTCTCACCTAACACAATGGTCACCTACCTATAGAAATGTGCCTAGATGTTCCAAAAAAGAAATAGACCAAGGTAGGGAAGAAGGCCGCATATAGACCATGGACTGGTGGAAGACCGCAAATCATGGCATAGGCCATACCTGGATAATAAAAACCTTTTAACAGTGATATGAAGTTGTTGTTTTTTTTATACGACGAACAATCCAGAAATCGGTGTGCCAGGAAGAGAAGTCCTAGGAATGGAAGTCCGGGCTTTCATACGATAAGTACAGGTTAGAGGTAGTTGGAGAGTTGGGGTTAGTATATAGGAAGATTGTACTGAGAAGCGGACTACGGTTCCAAGCGGACTTCCATTCCTTTTACACCGGCTTGAGACTTTCCAACACGTGATTTCCAAATACCCGCCATATGTGGTTGTGAACAATACCGTTCAAGGGTAGCTGATAGGGATATTAAAGAGGACTTATTGCATTGAATAAATAATGGTAAAAGAACTTAATTCATCAAAATATCCACAAAAGCCTGGGTTTCTTGAATATTAGCATCTGTGCAAACTGAAATGTCAAAATATTATTGCTTAAAATGGCGGAAAACACTTTGGATAGATACATGTACTTGAACATAATAATTTTTTATCTCACCTTGAGGTAAATTCATCACCCCCACTGTGAGCCCTGCCACTATATCTCCCACCAGCCACTGCGGATATCTATACTGGCGTAGAATTCCGACAAACGGAAACAGCCGAAGTAAAAACCGACAAAGACATCCCGAAGAGCATGCGCAGCGTTTACGCCAACTTCGATTCTCTTCATTTTTCTTTTCCTGAAGTACCTCGGAAGAATGCCTATGGAGAAGGTCAAAATTAGACTGCGAGTATATAGGTCGAAGCACCCTAACTTTTCTGACGTCAACAGCCCGGTTGTCTTTAGAAGTCGCATCTGGACAAGTGTCGGGATGGGGTGCCGTTGTCTCTGTTCGGGTCATGGTCCCACGAGAACGGAATCCCTCATCGTCTATAGCGAGGGTCATCTCTCTCTATTGTCTCGCTTCTGCAGTTGATATAAAAACATGAAAAATGAAAATGTTCTCTCAGATGAACTTAACGACCTCGTAGTTTCGAGATATTTCCCCACAGTCCTTATTTCAACTATTAAAACATATTTCTGCGCATGTGTATTTTCTTTTTCACTAACGCAAGTGGCGTACCACAGAAATCTTTCACCAGAAATTCACACATGTTTGGCTATGCTCTTTTCTTACCGGTGAGAATTTTTGAACAACAACTACCTTAGCAGGACGACTTGAGGTTTTAAACATTTATCCACCAACTATAATTTCATATATATATATATATATATATATATATATATATATATATATATATATATATATATATATATATATATATATGAGTATTTAAACCCCATTTCTCCTTACCGTTCAAGCATTTACTTGTCTTCGTTAGATTTTCTTTTATTTTGTGTGATCACCATTTCAGCACTACTGCTAACAGTGATCGTGGTGGCAGTGACTTCTTTATATTTCCCTTTAGCTGCTTATATCATTCATCTTGTTTACAAGTATGATAATTACTAGTATATAAACACCGGAATCACGACACGTACGTGTAATGATGCACAGCAGGAAAACTGGCCAGGTATAACAAAAACAAAGAAAAATTAATAATGTTCTGATTATTCATCGATGGCTAGTTAATTGATAGGTCATATGTTTTAAGTTTTATCATTGCTATTCTTCTTGATTATGAATTGTCGTCCTACTAGATTTTTTTTTTTTTTTTTTTTTTTTTTTTTTTTTTTGTGACATGTGCCCGGGTACAGATATATACTCTTGCCACAATAACAATAACAAAAATATCTTGTTCTTTTCTCTGTCCCTGGGGATACTTATGTCACAATAAAAAACAATATTTTATCCTTTTCTATGCCCATTAGGGATACTCTTGTCACAATAACAAAACAATATTTTATCCTTTTCTATGCCCGTGCTTAGACTTATGTCACAATAACAAAACAATATTTTATTACTTTCAATGCCCATGGGTATACTGTTGACAGAATAGAAAAACAATATTTTTATGTATTTTCAAATGTATTCTACTTTCGGATTATTATTATTATTATTATTATTATTATTATTATTATTATTATTTTGCGCTTTTATAAACCACTGAATTAGGTAATGATCTAAAACACGTTAAGACTCACTACTGGTACTTAGGTTTCAAATTATTAATCTTTCGATTGAAATATCTTTTAGAAACAAAGAAACATCCTCAAAGCACGCAACACTTAACTTCGTGTAACGAATTAGGATTACGAACCATTTTATTGGGGCTGTTTCCGATCTTTTATTTTTTTATCTTATATTTCCGCTTTTTTTCGAGTTTTTCCGCAACCACGTTTTCTTCCACGTGAGTAATACGTTTTCTTCCACGTTTTCTTCCACGTGAGTATTGCCTAGGCACACGCATGCTTCAAGATGAGAGTGATTTCTTTCATTAATGTTCGCGACAGTGTATGAACTCACTTATTTTAAATATCGACATTTAAATATTAAAATAAACGTCATTTAAAATACCAATAACATAACCACATCAAATATGAGAGATATATTGAAAAAATATTGAAGCGTACCAAGAATCTGACAGGATGAGTTACCTGTCGTAACCTGGCTTGGGGAGTGTGGCGGTGCGTAGTTTACAAGTTTAATTGTACCTTATGGTCAACTGCCGGGCATATTAGACTGGGTTCCAATACCTAGATCTATCTCACTATATTGCTTTCATCTTAGGCGGCTTAGATGTCTGTCACAATTACTGAAGCTGTTAGTGGGTAATTAATTATCGTTTAGCAGCTTCAGCAGGCGTGCCAGACATCTAAGCCGCTTAAGCTGAAAACAATTTAGCTACAAACCCCTCGGAGATGGATCGATCCTGTTAGATCGATCTAAATATGGGAACCCAGTCTTAACTGCATCAGCAATTAGTGAGCTTGTCAACTGATGATAGTTAATTTGGAAGACTGTCACCTTTCGATATGATCTAAACCACTCGAGGCGACCATAGCCTCATGACGTCTTTTGGCCTCAAATTTAGTAAGAAAGTCACGTAAGACCGTCGAAAGATTTATAATTTGAAACACAAGCCATCATCGTCGTCATTATCATTTATTAACGTGTCATGTGCACAGAACACCCAGCCCTTCAGGCTTAGAAGACACCTGTTAAATACAATTTTTCTGTCTTAGATCAAATATCTTAACAATAAATTTTGCAAATTGCATCATTTTTTCCATTACATCTTCCACAGAAATTTTATTTATATCATTTATTTGGATACATAATCTAAAACTTTACTCTCTATAAGCAGTGCACTGAAGTAAGAAATGACTCATTTTCTAATTCTTTTTTGCCTTGTTGGCACATTCTTTCATTAATAGGCGTGTTGTCCGGAACCGTGCAAATTTAGATACGTCGAAATCTTTACGTCTAAACGCTACAGAGGAAATCCACACTGACAAAAATGACCAGTTTCAATCGTTTAATGTGAACTCGTTGCCTGCTTAGGTACATTTTGATTCTCTATTCAATATTACACCCTTTAGTCTGTACTCCAGCCAATGGCTTCATGCACGTCCTTATCACTGGCTCCTTAATGCGACAGGTAAACAAGCCCTACTCAGCCTCTTCAAAATTGACATAATGTATTATAGAGAATACAATAAAAGTTATTACTTGAAATTACTGAGATCGTCTATGACTTATTAAATGTCTCCGACAGTGTGTTATTGTTACGTCCAATTTCCACATTTTAATCTAAAATGCCCATCCGAAACTGAGTTAATTTTTTTTCCTTTCTTGTTTAAATCTATGTTAAGATATTTTTCAGTTTTCACTTCTTTTTTAAATGTCATGTATGTTCGGAGATCAGGGAATTTCCAAATTTCTTTTTTTTTTTTCAATTAATTTGGACTTTTTCATAGAAGAGTTTTCCATGTATCCCATGTCAACAATTGATATTTTGAAAAAATGTATTTCCATATCACGGAATCTGAGAATCTCTCTAACCTCGGAGCACCAATTTTTCCCCAATTTATGATCTTCAAAAATTTGTTTGACAAGTCTTTCATTTTGGGTGAGTACCAAATTGTTCCAAAGACTGAGAATGTGCAGCCATCTGCTAAATTCAGTGATATCCAACCTGAGCCACCATACAGACTCACTTTTAGTGAAAATCAGTAAACTCCTAAACAGTATCTTAAGGCTTTAGAAATAAATTTTTCACAATTTTCATTTTCCGAAAACCCCCAAACCCTTCAACCCAAACTCTAAAATTGGAGTCACACAGCTGATAAATAATTTTTGGTATGTGTAGAATACCATTTGACTAACTTTTGCTTTTGCTTTAATTAAATCCAGTTCTCAAGTAGTACATTCAGATAAATATTTGGCAGTATACTGAAAATCTAAAAATTATTATACATAAACCCTAGCTATTTATACTTATCAACTTAATCTTTATGGTGACCTTCGAAATATACAAAAATATGCAGTACGTTCTTAATGTTTGGGCCTATAAAGTACACATCGGTTTCTTGTACTGCATCTTTACGTTTTTTTTCCTATTTTTATTTCCTTTTTTATAACCTTTGAAAAAATATTATAACTGTAGTATTCCCATTATTATCACTAAATTGTAATGAGCATGTTCCCCCCCCCCCCCCCCCCCCATTTTTTTATTAATTTTAATGTACCTGCTAGTTTGCCGGTGTTGGCGGCTTCAGCTTTCTCAGTCTGTGTATGGTGGAGCAGCGAGTCTTTCTCGGGCCAGCGTAGTTTCTTCGTTTAGAACGCTGTTGCTCGCTGATCGGGACGCAAAGACTGAATGGTGTTAAAGACCGTTGCGCTATAAACATGGGCCGTGGGTCAGGGAGCTGCTTGTGATTGGGTGGAGTTTGGACGAGTTAAACCATGTGTTCCCCAAAGGGTGAAGGGCGAGAATTAGACCGTTGTCTATTGGTTGATTAGTGAGCTCTACGTTAGAGGCGTGGAATTGCAGCGTTCGCATAAATGAAAAATGCGCATGACAGAAACCCTGCGCTGGAGGGGACATGGGATGATTGCTACGGAAAGAGAGGAAAGAGGAAAGAGAAGGGCGTGCCTTCAGCGTTTCTTTAAAACCTGTTTAAAACCTTTATTACATTTGTCACACGATGTCCGTACAGCCTTTATCCTACGCACATTCATGATTATATGTTTTTTTCTCCTTATCTTTGTGAACTAGTTTCATTTTATCTACCCTCCCGTCCGTCACTTACTTTAAGCCTCTCTTACAACCCGTCGTGCGTGCTTAGAGATCGTGCGTCCTCGGAGTTCTTGTCAGACGTAGCGTTGTCGCAGGATGAAAATTAAATCGCAGCGGACGAACTAGTAAGTACTTTATGAGTAGGTGTGTCGTGCTCTAAACGTGGGGCCCGCAATGGTCTGTACGCCTTTTTTGGAAGTAGGAAGAAGTAAGGAGCACGTACGATCTGTACTTGTGTCGCACACAGTGAGTGAGATAATCATACGCGTATTGCAAGTGAAGCGTACGTTTTCAGAAATCGTACTAACGGAGTAAGAGAAACGTACGAGAAACGTAATGAGCACGGAAGTGGAACGCACGGATAATCAAAATAATATAAAAGGGAGCACCGAGTCTCTTCATCATTCACTGTTTTGGCTTCCAAAATGGCACTTCCAAGAAGGATGCGCCATCGACTTCTACAGCTGCTAATGCTAGAGGAGGCCGAAGATCGTGA